ATTCTATACTTTACTATTTGATAAAAACCATGAATAAAAAAAAAAAAAAAAAAAAACTGAAAAATAAATGAGTAAAAACTACGTACTTTTATCAGAAGACCTAATCTAAATAAGGAATTAAGCTATTGAATTTGAGTTATAATCTAAGACCTGCTTTAAATGCTTTTGGAATGACATGAGAAATACACAAATGAATGGATAGATACGTAAGTCAGTCACTATAAAAAAATGCATGATAATTAATGGAAACTTAATTCTCCTATGCTTATTTAGGATGTTAAGAACTAGCTTCCCTTAACAATTCTGCAGACATTTCAGTTAATTTGTATAAGACTCATCTTCTCAAAGAAGTAAAACATTTAGGAGTACATGTTAGAATAATAATACCTTTTATTATTTACACGCATCAATGTTTCATATTGTAACATTTACTTTGTGCCTTTTCTAACCAGTTGTTTGCTGAGTCAACTGACTCATGGCGCCCCCGTATGTGTCAGAATAGAACTGTGCTCCATAGGGTTTTCAATGGCTGATTTTTCAGAAGTAGACCGCCAGATCTTTCTTCAGAGGAGCCTCTGGATGGACCTGAACCACCATCTTTCAGTTAGCAGCCAAGCACTTTAACAGTTTGCACCACGGCTCATTTCTAGTCAGTGAGTAATAAATATTCTTGTTGAAATTGTCACATATTTTTCCTAGCTTTTTTCCTTCTGAATTACTCAATATCATAATAAAGCAAAATAAATAAGAAGAATTTTTTCACTTGAATAGTTATAGTAATTAATTTATTGTGTGATTACTAAGAGCAGAAAATAAACTAAATGAACTGTTTATATTAGAAGTGAACTGTAATTAAATTAATTGTATTAAATGTTTCAGTGTCTTTAAACAAAGACACCGACACAGAATACAATTCCTAGCAATTCAAAAATCAGTTTTTAATAAACATGTTCCTAGAACAAAAAAAATTACACATATTAGGGTGACATGCATTTTAAATCCTGATATTGCCTTCCTCAATATCTATCAAAGAATCAGTGTTTATAAAACAAAAATAAAGCTCCTTGTTCTCCTAAATTTGCTGTTATGATGTGATAATCTTTTTCCTCTATTAAGAATGTACGTTTATTCCAAAAAAAGAGTTAAAGGCAGTCCTTTCCTTGAGCTCAAAATACTGGATCATATCAATTATACCACTTAAGATGTGAGTCACTTCTCTCGCATATTTAGAAATAAACTCAGGCTGATTCATTTAGTGTGCCACTGGTTGTCAGGTGGGATTAAATGCATTTGATTTTTAACTTCTGTTTTTAACGATGTCCTCACCACTGTCTCTTTGAAAATTTTTTCTACACGAAAATAATGTACATCAGGTAAAATACAGTAGGTAAACATTTAAATTACGTCATTGTTTTTAAAGCAATAGGGCACCCCACTCCCTTTTTTTTAACTATCTGTTTTGTTGCTAAATCCTTGGGTTTAAAATAAAGCCTTAGAAAAAGATATTTCCATCCTCTGATTAGTCAGAACAAATAGATTTTCCCTCAAAACTGGTTAGAGATAAATATATTTGTACAGTTAATGCTGTTAAAAAAACAACAGGTTAACTTTTTCAAAATAATAAACATTTGGGGGAAGCAAACAAATGCTCCATTCCACAAATACTGACGGAGCAGCTGCCATGTGCAAGGCGCTGTGCCACGTGCTGAGGTGAAGCAGACAGCAAGCACTCAGCCACCATATGCTTAAGACTCTCAGTGGGCAGGTAAGGCAGGCACACAAATACTCACAAAATAAGGTGGGAAGAGACTGAATACCTTCAGCGAGGAAAATCTAAAATACTACAGGAGTTCAAAGAAGGGAAAGCTGTTTCCAGCAAGTGGAGTGGGAAGGGAAAATCAGAGAAGGCTTCATGAAGACAGTGGATCTGAACCAGGCCTTGAAGGAAAGGGAAGATGTGGCCCAGCGCAGACTGGGAGGCGAGTCTGCATGGGTAGTAAGGGGTAGGGCTAAGGCAGCGTTGTAAGGGTAGGGAGCCGGAGCAGTGCTATGTCACAGGAAATTTAAGCATTAGGGTAGGTGAAAGAACAAAACTAGAAATAAGGGAGAAGAAGAACAAGAAATAAGGAGAAGTAGGAAGGCACCAGATAACAACAGACTTTGAAAGTGTAGTCAAGTGGCTCATACCTTATCTGGTAGGCAAATGGTAATCGATGAAAGATTCTCAGCAGGGAAGAGGAGGACCAGACACATGCCCGGAAGATTAATTTAACACCAGTGGGATAAATGCATAGGAAGACAAACTAAAGACGGGAAAACCAATCAGGAGTCTAGTGCACAGTAACGAGAAGAGAAACTAGGCAGTAACAGGGGAAATGGAACGAACAGTATGGATGCAAAAAAAAAAAAAAGTAAATTGTAAACAGCATTTATGAAAAATATGGAACAAAGCCTTACCTGATTCTTCTGTATCTTGTTCATCTATTAAACCTACTGAGACGCCTAAATCCACACATTTCTTGCTATGTGCCTTGGACTTCATGTGTTTTGTCAGATTTCCTTAAGGGAAAAGAATGTTTACTAAGCTTACATAGTATTGTTTTGCTATTGCATTTGTCAACACTTGTAAATTCCATTCCTATTTCAAGCAAAAAAAAAACACAGACTGTAGTTATACAATTCTAATGACTAAAATTCTGACAAAATATTATCTCTGTTATAATAACTTCGTTATTTATTAATAATAATGTATCTTTTAAACCTGCCCCCTTTACTTTGACAATGTCTACTTCTTATGATTTTTATTCTCTATTCCTTATTTATTTCTTAGGACATTTTATGCATACTTAAGTCTCTTACAGGCTGCACTATAAATCTGTAGTTCTGAAGTACGAATTGTCCATTCATTATGTCTGCTGGCTCTCTCTCATAGTAGTACGTTTCCTTGCATGCTTTTTCATTTTTATTGTAAGCTTATCTCTAGTAAGATTGCTTTCCGTGGGAGTTTCAAGTACCCTGGGTTGCAAAAACATCTACATGGGGGCAGTTTTCAATTATTTCTGCCTGGGAGCTTAAGGATTTCAGACCACTGACTCTGGACAAGCATTTTTTTGCATGGCATGTATAGGGCTTTGCTTTTTAGCAGATTAACTTTTTCCCCCATGGCCCAAGGTCACTGGACAGGAGAGCCAGGCTAACTGCAGGCTGACTCCATTCCAGAACAAACATTAAAAATCCAGGCTCTGATTCCCATATGGACTTTTTTTTTTTTTGGAGCACCTGCTCACCAAGCTATCTTTGCATTTCATCTTTATTTCTGGTACCTGGGAATTTACCTTTCTTAACTTTGAGCTTGGTATCTATTAAAAACTATTTCTGGTCGCTGTTATATTAGAAACTATATTTTGGAATAGAGGAAAGAATTTCCTGCACCGATTTCAGTTCACCGTGTTGACTACAATGTCGCTAACAGTATCTCTAAAGGTGTGTTTCCTCTGGCAGCTGGTGCAACAAGCTCTATGAGTATTAGCAGTTAACTGGGAAACAATGGACAAGCTTTCTCCATGTGATCATGAATGCCAGGGAGAGCTCAGATTCTTCTGAGGATGCCAAGCAGCTTGAGTGGATAATACTGACAAGGGCAAGTTATCTTTTGGGAAAATGAATAAACAAAACACTCAGTCAGGTGGGGAATGGGATACTAGTGTTTGAGGATAAGCCTCTAGAAGAGCTAAAAAATCCATCAGTCACTGGTCCAGATTTGGGGCTTACAGTGCTGTAGGACCTTGTAAAACTGCTATATTTGTAAAGCCTCAATGCTATAAAAACACTCTTAGTACAAGGGGATTCTTGTACTAGACAGGACATTCCTGAGTGAGCCAAACGTACAGCATCCTGGAGCGTGGTGCTTATTTAGGAGTTCAAGGGTCAGCTGGGTGCCTGGACCAGATGTCGTCTAAGATCCATCAAACTCTGACTTCTGTGATTCTGGAGGTAACACCTGGCTGAAATGGTTTGGCCATACCTGAAATTTACTTTAAATATACTTAAAAAATAAAAGATGGCAAAATGTTAATAATTATTCAAAGATGATTGGCATACTGTAGTGATGGGATATACATATCTCTAACTTTGTATGCTTCACATTTTTCTATTAAAAATTATAAAAAAGGGCTTGGGCATCTTAATGCGGCTGAAACTTTCATTTGTAAAGTCCCAATGTTTTTGGTATAGTAACAATATTATGAACCAAATTACAAGTTCCACTAATCGTTCTCTTTCAAAATGCTTTGTTCCCTATATAGACAGTTCTAGCAGGTTGCCTTCTAAGAAGTTAATAATGTATACTTGTAAGTAGGCAAATTTGGGAATGTAAGTTTTTAATAAGCATATACTCTCATAACTTGAGTTAGTTCTTATTATTAATGAACCTGCTAAATAATTTAACACAAACAAAAGAATTTTCATTTTAAGTATGCAAAATATGCATATCTTAAAAATGCAAATATCCCCTAGAAACGCTATAAGCTTTATGTACTAATTTAATAGATAAATTTTTAGATAGATTTAATAAACATTTATCTAAATCCTCTGGACAGCATCTGATAGGTTTTGTTTCTAGATTCCTATAGCTACATACAGAGTCTAACTTTCTGTGCTATAAATGGAATGAAATCCTGCAGAGACACAAGCTCACTGAATATTTTCTGCTGACTGACCTTCAAAGCAGAATAGCGGCCAAAAAAATCAATAAAAAATTATTTTAAAAACATAAACTAAGAGGACAAATGATGACATATAGACTCGTAAGCATTACCATCAGAAGCATCAATTTCTAGTACTACACATTATTCTTTTGATAGTATTTTGAAGTCTTTGCATACTATATTTATACAGCATGCTATTATATCAATATTTTCTTCTGTTAATAACTAGACACATTCATAAGAATTAGAGTTGGATTGGCTAGGAAGACAAAGTAAGTCAGGGCAAGGCAAATCTACAGCCTAACCTAAAAACAGGTCCATTATTGTTTAGCCACCTTTAAAAGGTGCCATGGAACCTATTTTAGACATATTCACAAAAAGGAGACTTCCAGAAGGAAGCTGACAACCATCAGGCCAAAAATAGGAAAATAGTGAATTTCTAAGATTTTCTTCACCAGTCTCATTAGCTAAGGTAGTCTGTTTTAAATAAATATTTATCACATAATTCCACATGAATTATCTGACAAAACAAAAAATTTAGCGTAAATTAAGATATGTAGCATACTGGAGAACTGTAATACATGAAAACTGCTAATGCACAATGCACTTCAGGTATTGTTATACTCTGCTGACAATTTAGTAAATATTTATCTAAAATTTTACATGATGCTGTTTTGAGTTATTTCACTGACATGAATACTTGGTGATTCATAATATTTTTCCGTGCAAGAAATCACTGTGGTTTCATTTGGTTTCCCACATTTAGATTTTCCTTCCTTTCTTACCTTTATTTTATGAATAAAAAAACCAAAAACTAAATCCACTGCCACTGAGTCGATTCCAACTCATAAGGACCCTATAGGACAGAGTAGAACCGCCCCACAGGGTTTCCAAGGAGCAGCTGGTGGATTCAAACGGCCAACCTTTTGGTTAGCAGCCAAACGCTTAACCACTGTACCACCAGGACTCCTATTTTATGAATACTATTTTAAAAATACCCTGACTTCTTTTCCTCCATTATACCTTGATCTTCTTGTATTTGGTGTCATTGTTCTGTACTTGGTGATCTTTTATTAGTAATACTGGCATCTTAAAATGTTCCTGGTCTTATCCTGGTCTTAATAAGACAATTCTTAACTGGCTCTAAACCAATCAAAAAGTTAATAAGTTGGGTTAAAAGATCAAAGTTATCCTATCAAAGCCCTCACTAAGAACCAACGAAAGCATTCCAAAATCCACCCTCCATCTCTGGAAGGAGATTCCATATCACAATCAAAGAATGACATAGATTAGTATTCCTCCCAAACCCTTGTGATTTCTTGAAACTTTCTGGAAATAGTCAAGGCTATCTGAAGAAGAACATTTTGTTTTTCCATCATTCTTGTTTCAGGCACTATTAGCATTTAAGGAGAACTAATTTGAAGCTATTCAGTTGTTATACATTGTAACTCATTAAGTGCTAATAAAATCAGTAAAACGTTAAATTACTAGCCAAAAAATGTAATACATTTTGCTAAAAAGTTGACCAATCTTTAAAACAAAAAACTGCAAAGACAACCAATATAACTCTAAAAAAGTAAATGCTAATTCAAAAAGAATAAAAATTTACAAGTTTCTGTCAAAAATGATCAATGAAATACTTTTTTTTACTGATAGTCCTTTCAGACAGATGATTTCATTATTACATCGCTTTGTTTTAGAAGAGATTCTTACTCTTTTAAGGGTGGTATATGAAATTAAAATCCAGGTGACATATTGTTATATTATCATCTATGAACAAGGAACCTAATGGAGAAAGCAAACATTTTCAAGAAGCATAGCTATTATATGGAATAGGAAATTTGTAGAGGGTAAAACTTCCTTAACTAATAAAGGCTTACAAGTTAAATAAAAACATACAAAGAAAACAGAAAGGGCACTAAATATAGTTTTATTGACTAGTTCTGAGTTGTCTTTATAAAATATTAAACAGTAGAAAAATGAGAAAAATTTTGAAGCTGAAATTCAACAGTATTTGGGTAAAAAGATACATCATGGAAAAAAAATGCTACACACGCCTAAAATTAGGTAATAAAACAAAACATGAGTGTCATCATTATAAAAGCTTTACTGTGGTTATGACTTTAAATCTTTCTTCAATCTTTTAGTGCCCAAAGGAATTTATTTGTGATTATGAAATTTTCTTTTTCCTCCTTAGCCCCAAAGTATTTTTGAAAATGTATTCATCATGTTATGCAACTGTCATTTGGGAAGTAAAAAAAAGGCAGTTGCTCCTTTTAAAATTTTACAAATATATTCCAAAGTGCATAATTAAATACCTTCTTCCAAGGGTCTGGAAACATAAAGAAAATGAGACTACAATGTTGACAAGATGTAATTTGTACTAGCCTATGTAAGCTACTGTATCTTTGGTCAAACAATACCCGAAGCTGGGTTTTAGTGCTACCAACCAAGTGTACACAAAGGAGTGGGAGGCAATGTGCGTCTCATACCTTTAGTCTTAAAGGAGAAGTTACAGTAAGTGCAGTGGTAGGGGCGGACATCAGTATGGGTTCGTATGTGTTTCTTTAACATGCTAGGTTTCTTACAACGTATTCCACATTCTTCACAAATGTACTTTCCTCTTCCCCTGCCTCGGACATATACATACTCTTCATTTGACTTATATCTAATTTAAAGAAAAAGATTAAATCGGAGATTTAATAGTGGGAATTGGATACTATGTCTTTGCGAAAATACCCATTAAAATTCAACCTAAAAAATTACATAACTTTAATATTCAAGCAATAAAAATTTTATGCATGTGTAACAGGATATTCTAGCTTTTCAAATCAACACTGAATATTCTAATTGCTAATTCTAATCAAATAACCTTATTCAATGCTATTTTTAAGAATATATATCCCTGTTTCTGTATTATTGGTTTAAAAGTTTGCTTTATTACTAAATTACAATACAACTATCAGTACTGAAACATTTCTGAGCCTCACTGTAGCTAAAATTGGCATAAACGATTTGTTTTTCTCATAACAAAATACACAAAGACGGGAAACAGGCAAAGAATTCACCTCTCTCAAAATAGATCTTCCAAGTCATTCCTTACTGTCAACTGCTGTGGAACTCAAGCTTAACTCTGAAAACGTAGTTCTTGTTCTTAGTTGCTTCCAGGGCCCTACAGCTTTTCTAAATTGTCATTATTTTCTCCATTTAAATGAAATTCTTCAACATAATGCTAACAGATATTTTGCCATGTTGTTGTTGTTAGGTGTCGTCGAGTCAATTCCGACTCATAGCGACCCTACAGGACGGAGTAGAACTGCCCCACAGGGTTTCCAGGCTGTCATCTGTACAGAAGCTGATCACCAGGTCTTCTCCCATGGAGCAGCTGGGCAGGTTCCAACTGCCAACCTTTCCGTTAGCAGCCGAGCGCCTTAACCACTGCGCCACCAGGGCTCCTTATTTTGCCATGGAAATTCTGTTCATAAGCTGAGAAACTTCGTGACATTTATATAAAATTGGCACTGATAAGTCTTCATTTACACAAAAGCAAATGTACATTTAAAAAGTAAGTTTAAATGTACATTTAAGAAGTAAAATGTGTACTTGCCCTCCATCAAATATTTTAATTCTTCTTGGTTCACTTTTGGTTAAGGAATTTTCTTTATCTTGTTCACTGTTAATTTCAGAGGCATCTTTATTGCTGAATTCACCTACTGTGGACTTTTGATTACCTAATGCTCTCTGAAAGGAAAAAAAACAACAGAGAAACTAATTTAATAAAACTGAAAACACAAACATGCTAATGTTTCGCTGGAAATTAAAACAAGGCAGAGCGCCGGGTATACAATTACTTATTGAAATGCATTTCAAAGAAGTAACAGGTTTAACAATTATTTGCTTTATCTTCTTTCTCCCTTTGATACATCTATCTAAACCAAACCATGGCGAACTGATAAATCCTATGCCATTTTAAAATCCACCATATCCCACCGCCTCCCCCAAAGAAAGGCTTCACAACCTCCCCGCTTTGGTAACCCGTACAGTGTAATAGGAACTTTTTACAGCAACTAAGGATTCTTTCTTCTATCTCACCAATCACTCACACTGCTGTTTCTTACAGGGTTTATTCTTTAGAGACAGAAGAGAGTGAGCTACCGCTTTTGGTAAAATGAAGTTTCATACTCCTAAGGAACATGACTAAATCTCCTTCTACTTAAGAATACTGTAAAGTTTAATCAGAAGCCCCATTTCCCACTGTTTTATCTCCCTCCCTCATTTTAAACCATAATTATGGTTTCTGTCTATATTTTCTCCAAAAAACACGAACAAAACCCGATGCCATTGAGTTGACTCTGACTCACTGGAGACCCCATGTGGACCAGAGCAGAACTGCGCTCCACAGGGTTTTCAAGGCCGTGCCCTTTCAGAAGCAGATCAGCCAGGCCTATCTTCTGAGGTGCCTCCAGGTGGACTTGAACCTCCAACCTTTGGGTTAGCAGTTGAGCCCTTAACTATTTATACCACCCAGGGGCTCCTATCTTCTCAAAAGTTTCCATATACTGATTAACTCTGAGATTCAGGTCAAGTCAAAACCTGACTTCTGACCTGGTAATTAAATCTCTGGAAAAAGGTAATGAACATCACAATGATAAATACAACATGCTTTCCCTATAGAAACAGTAGAATACCACCTTACAATTTTATACAATCACACAGTTTCCCATGTATTTTCTCATTCATCATTCCATTTAATTCTCATAAGTGGATTATTCTGCAATGAGGAAGGACACTCCCAGGGTTAAATTATTTGCCAAAAGGCAAAAGTCAACAGCAAAGGCTCAAACTCAAGTCCTCTGTCGAGTTCAACACAAGACAAAACTTTCCTGACCAAGGGCTTCTTTTATACAAAGCTCCTTTTAAAAAAAAGTCCATTGCCAAATAGACAGCTATCTTATTCAGAAGACTTAACAGCATAGTAAGTGATGAGAGACTGTCTGCATTATAGGGGGAGGGACTATGTTGTCTAGAGAAAGGACCCTGGGAGCCCAGTCCTTACAAAGACAGGAATAAAGACAAGTTGGCTGGCCCTCGTTCCTCAGAAAGGTGGTATGAAGGAGTGATAACACTGATGCCTATACAACCTTTTCCTGGTAAATCAGTTCTTCCAACATTCTGGAATATATGAACACACCTTTCCATGACTTTATCCCTTTAACAACAATAACCCTCCTTTTCACCTTCTTCTCAATATTAAATTTCTGTCTATTTTTTGTTCATTTTCTTACCATCCAATTTCCTTGGTAGCTTCCTGTTATCTGGCTTCTATTCAGCAAAGTTCCTAGTGAGCTAAATGCTAAAATCATTAACATTTCCTTGGTTTTTATATGCTTGACCACTCTATGGCATTATATGGTATTGATGACTTATTTCTCTTAGAAACATTTATGAGCATCTACATCTTTATTTCCATTTGAACCATAGACAGGTACATTAACATTTGGGGTCAGGGTAAAAGTCAACCCCGTACTCAATCCTCCAGAGCCACTTACCCACAGACTCAAGCCTCCAGAAATATCAACCTGTTGCCATCAAGTCGATTCCGATTCCTGGAGACCCCATGTGTGTCAGAGTAGAACTGTGCTCCATAGGGTTTTCAATGGCTGATGTTCTGGAAGTAGATCACCAGTAGGCCTTTCTTCTGAGGTACCTTTGGATGGACTCGAACCTCCAACCTTTCAGTTAGCAGCCGAGCATGTTAAGCATTTGCACCACCCAGGGACTCCTCAGTGTTACTGGAGCAGCTCAGTCCGGAGACTCCGGTTGGTCCTCATCTTTATTGGACCTCTCCTTTCTTGATTCCCACGATACCACTCTCTCCTGCTTCTCCTCCTTTCTCTATCAATAACTGCTTTCAGTTCCCTGGGTGGATTTTCCGCCTCCATTCAAGTTTTTAAATATTAGTGGTCCCCTGGGATTGTTTATAGCCCTCTTCTCTTCTGCTCCTTTCCGCTCTCCCTGAGAAACCTCAGGAATTACACTTATGCATCGAAGAATCTTTACTTCAAACTTTCCTCCTGGGCTTTCTCCTGGGATCCACATCTAGCTATGCATTTCCAGATACTTCTACCAAAGCACTCGGTACTTTAGAAGAACTACTTTTCACAGGCACTTTAGGAATATACATGAAACTTGGCTAAAATACTCACAAAATACTCATAATCAGGTTCCATCTTCCAAGATTCTGACTTAGTAGATTGAATTCTAGGCATTAAAAAAATAAGGTTCACAGATGGTTTGGATGCACTGCTTCACTGAGAAAGTATCAATCGTTTTCCACAGCCAAACTCATGCTTTAGTCTTTACCTACCAACCAACTTCAAACTATGTTACTGTTTCAAATGTCAACACTCTCTAGCCATATGGGACTCTTATAAATTCTTTTAACGAATCAAGTTCTTTCTCGCTTGCATGCTATTCAACAAAGTTTCTCATATTTGTTTGCCTGAAACATCCCTAGTTAATTTTTTTAAAGACCCAGCTAAAGTATCACCTCCTTTAGAATATCTTCCCTGTATTCATACTTCCACAACCTATCAGCAGTGTTAGCGACTTGTTTTAGAAGTTGTACTCCAACTTCTACTATAATACTGACACTTTTATTTTTTTACTGAAAGGTATATACGTTTATAAACCTGTATTACATGCTTGTGAACCTGTAGAAGTCAAGGACTTAATCTGTAATTCCAAATGCCCAGAATCCAACATGATATCCTTATGTACTTTATTTTTAATTGCTTAAATGATTTCCCCCCACTGTATAAAGCCAACAACTCTAACGAGACTGAGTTCACAAACTACACAAAATTAAGTTTCATGACCTTAAACTACTTTATAAGCCTTGTACAAATCAACTTAGTTATAAAGTGTATGAAAAAAACAAAAAACAAAAAACCAAACCAATTGCTGTTGAGTCAATTCCCACTCATAAGACCCTATAGAACAGAGAAGAACTGCCCCATAGGGTCTCCAAGGAGCGGATGGTGCATTCGAACCGTCGGCTTTTGGTTAGCACTGAGCTCTTAACCACTCCATGAAGCGTATGAGTTGGCTGTGTTGTGAACCTTCCCATAAGTACTGAGATGACTCTCAGAACTATCTTGGAAGAGAGCTGGGATTAGCATGGGAAGGGAGAGAGTGGGAAGGTCTCAACTGGGTCAGGTGATGGTCAAGGATGAGAGTGTCATTATGATGAATGACTCTCCACTTATATCTCAAAATGAAATATACCAATCTTTGATTATTCATACCTCTCTCTCCCTGTATTATCATGGTAAAGCGTAAATATAATCTCCTCTCATTTAACAATAACAAAAAAACCTTAGTGTAAGACAAAGAGCCAAGTAAAATCATGATTATCTGTACCATTAAGTAAAGACTTGAATATTCAGCTGAGAAAAAAAGAAAAAAGTGCTCGAGGCAAGCTATTAATTCCAAAACATTTCAAGACAGAATCACTGAAAGGACTCCAGGTAACCCTCATCGGTGCAGCTCCTGGGGTAAACATATCATTCTTTCTCTCAAATAACTACACACACCAAGCAGAGTTACCATTCAAAACTAAAATACATATTTCCAATTAAAATATTTAAAAGGTATCAAGATATTTTAAAACTAATTTGCACAAACTATATCTGAAGATAGATTATATTTTTAGTACCTTGCTCAAGTTGCTTTTCCACTTGCTTGAGTAGACCAATAGATCTAATTTGGAATGAGTTGCTAGTGCTTGACAATATAGTGACTTTCCAGTCTTCTGTTTTGAATTAAGGAGAGAAAGAGCAACTTTTGTAGGTAAACCAAGTGGATTTGGATTACTGGCGCTCACTGTCCAATCAGTATATGCTGAAGTTTTCTGGTCGTTCTGAGGCAAATGCAATGACTTTTGTCTTAGTAGGTAACACCATGTAAAGCTGGTTGTGGTCTTCAGACTGGGAAAGGACCGCTGCTGTGTGTCTCCGGTATTAAACACTGAAAGAGTGCTGGCTGATTTCATTTCTTGTGTGTTGCCCCCTTGATTCTTAACCGTTGATGGAGACTTCCCTTCTCGGTTATTGTCTATACTTTTCAAAGGCAAAAGGTGAATATTTTCTGAAGGGACAGGTGAACTTCTAACTGTAAGACTTAGTGATGTGGAGGGCTTGATGTTGTCAAATTCCTGCAATTCATTTATAGGTTCTATGACTCCAGAGTCAGGGTGGCCTGATGAAGAACTACCAGTTGGTAAAACATCAGTCAAATTGATAGCCTCCCTACTAGTCTCAGCTTGGGGGAGAACATCCTGCTCCAGTATCACACCTTCAGTGGGCTCTGCAGTACAAACCTGCCTCACTAAGACAGGTTTCTTCTGTTTAACTTCATTAGCTCTGGAACTCAGTGGTTCCAATGGTCCAATATCTGTCGTGCAAACAGCTCCATTTTCATCTTTAGCCCGCTTCTGGTGCTTTTCCATGGCAATGTCTAAACTGTTTGCTGGGGAAAGCATCCTTTTACTTGAAGTCGAAGATTCTTGTTGGGGGGAAAGTCTACCAACAGACATTTTCTGAGTTATAGGCAAGGATTCCAACAGAGAAGACTTCTGGCACAGCTCTGAAAAAACATGTTCACCAACAAGTTCCTTCTCTGGGTTTGGCAAAGCGTTCTGGTGATCTTTTTGAGATTTTGGCAAGGAATTTTGTTCTTCGCTGATTGGCACTATAGTATTATTAGCCTGGCAAATTGGTTGATTTGATAGATCCTGGGTCACTAGAATCTGTGGCAAGGATGTGACTGTAGAGAAACAATAGGCTGGGATGTTACTCTGAAGACGCACGGGCACCATGAAGGATGACGACACCTTCTGTACCTGACCACCGAGGGTCCCGAGCTTTGGTGGTGGCAGAGCACATGAATCGGACACATTATCTACCACTTTGGTTGGTAACGCTAAGGATGTCATGCAATGGCCTGCACCAGCTGGATCTGAAAGAACCTGATTTGGCAAAGAATGTGCAGGATTAGAAGAGTAAGTCTGGCTTGAGGTTAAAACCTGAAACTGCAGTTGGTACTTGGGAGCGAAGCAATCCTCGCTTTTGGAAGACGCACACAAGGCGGGACTCGTGTCTGGTTTGTCAGCCCGTGCAGCCACTTTCAGAGACATCTGTGCATTTTGGTGGTTAGAAGGTGCATGGGTTTGATTTAACAAATTAAGACCAAAAAGCTGTTGGACAGGAAAGACGTTAGTGGAGTTGGACTTTGAAGTGTCTGTTCGCAGGTCCTTAACTTGGGTCTGGGGATGCAAAGCGTTTGTAGGAAACTCAACTAATGATGTATTAGTGATCTGAGGTCCCTGAAATGGCACTGGGTTCATGCCCGGAGGAGCAATAGTTTGGAAAGACGATGGGGTCACAGGAAGCACATGACTATCTGGAGCTATATTTAAAGATATCTGCCGTATCAATGGGCCTCTTCTTCTCTCCAAGAGGGGCACGTGCCCAGTAACTCCCATGCCAGAGGGTGGCATCGCCTGGGATGGAGTTATGCTTCCACAGTCAAATGATTTGCTTCGGACATCAGAGACCTCCATGGATGTCTGCATGCAATTAATCTGTTCTGAGGCAGCCCGTCTCATTTCCCGGTGAGCTCCCGGAACGTGAAGCATATTTGAGCCAGGTGGAATTACCAGAAACTCTGCTTTGTTTAGGAAATCGATTTTGGGGGAAGACTCCGTTTTAGAAATGTCATCTATGTCTAGCGAAACTGAGAAACTTGAGGTATGTGATAAACTACTCTCTCTACTTAGACTCCTGGACAGAGTGGAATCAAAACTCGACTCTGTTGAGGAATGCTCCATCTCGGCCAGCCGAAGTCTTTTCTTTTTTGGTGGCAGTTTCTCTGTCGGCAATTTTGACAAGGTTTCACTACGCTGAGGCCAACTGAACTTTTCTGATTTTTCTTGATCATGGCCTTGGGCTTCGGGTTCTCGATCTGGCTCTTCTGTGACCAGGATTTCTGGGACTTGGATATTGTGCTGTCGCGTAAGTCTGGAGGGCTGTCCCAACACATTTCTTTCACTTGAAATCTTTCTGGAACTTTCTAGAAGTTCTCCTCTAAGAGTGTCTGATAACACAGGCTGGTGAGGATGAGAGGCGTTCAGAGAAGGGTGGCCTTCCTCTTGAAAAATCCCCACTGCTTTCAGAGACCCAGGCTTCACTGTCCTACTCAGCTCCTGGAAGGAAACGGGAGAACCTCTTTCAAAAGACTCAAGCTTGTCAAATGAACTGGGTCTGCTCAGTGAATTTGTATGCTGTATGACGGAGATTCCAGCTCCATGCCTTTTCAGCTCTGTCTTTTCCTGGGCAGCTGAACTTATCTGTTGCTCCACCATGGTAGCCGGCTTTGGATCAGTGGTCTGGTCGGATCCCCTGGCAACAAGCAGAATTTGTGAGCTTTGCAACTGGATATTTTTCTGCTGGTGGTCACTTGGTATAGCGACACTATGTTTGGACAAGCTGGAAGGAGAGCCCAGAGTATTCTGAAGCTGAAGACCTTCAGAGCTTTTTGGAGAGGCTCCACTTTCATTTTGCTGAAGCTCATCATCATCACCAACACTTTTCATTTTCCTCCTTTTTCTTATTTGGGGCGTCTGTTCCCAGACACCTGTGGAAGCAGCTACTCTGTAGTGCAGAATCTGAGGCTGTGTGCTGCTGGGCACAGGGCTGTGTTCTGGCTCTCTTACGGCTACTTTTGTTTTGGGTCCATGTAACTCTGAGCAGTAAAATTTCTTATGGTTTTCGAAATTTTCCAGTTTTCGATACCTGTTTCTACAGGTTTCACACTCAAACATTGTCCCTCGCCCTTGGTGAGATTTCTTTTTCTCTAAATTTGATGCTTGTGCCAGTGACTTGTTCCTTGCTGACACAGTTTCACTAGAGGCATTACATCCTTGATAGCTTTCATCCACGGACTGCCCAGTACCCAGAGAAACATGATTTTCATTTGTTGAAGAGTCTTCTATTGCTGCTTGTCTGACAAGTGTACGGGGATGTCCACACTGGGGCACAGAAGTGTTGGGTCCCGATACAAAGACATCATCATAGAAAGAGCCAATTTTGTCATCAAATGACTGACTTCCTCTTAGTGGATGAGGGGGAGGTATTATATTTGCAGGTACTGCCGAATAACCTGTGGTAGGCATAGAATTACTTCTAGTAATAGGTAAACAGTCAAGAGAAGGTACAGACAGAAGGAAAACTTGTTTCGATTTCTCAGTCGGGGTGAAAGGGGACTTTGGTATATCCGAGCTTGAGCTTGTTCTCCGTCCCATTGGTTTTAAATCAAACTGGAAAGAATCTTTAAATATGTATGACTTGGGGGAATCGATACTTCCTCGTCTTGAGAGAGACGTTCTCCGTGGCTTTACACTATCCAGTTGCTTATCATCAACCAGGGCTTCATTGTCTGAGATAAGCTTTGATATCCGTTCTTCAAGGGTTTTTGTTGCCAGAGGTGGGCGCATCTGGCCTGGTAGAAGCAATGCTTTTTCACCTGTCAGTAAAGCAGAAGGAGCTAGTGTACTGATACGAGATGCACAGGCTCTGCTATTCTTATTCGAGTCTTGTTCAGTGGTGGCTAAGGTTCTGGCGAAGGGAGTTGGTGGACTCACTGTTTGCTCGGCACTTTCAGAACGTGAGAAGTAACCAGAGTCTGTACTTCCTAGACTTCGAGGACTCACAAGAAGTTTTCCTTGTTGCTCCTGGGAGTAATCAGTAGCCTGCTGCCTTTGCAGCTGGGCATGTACTGTTCCTACATGAGGTTCTTGCTTCCCTTCTGAGTGTCCCACGTCCCTCTTCTGAGGGGACTTCTCATCTGTCTCCCGGGAGGACACACATGCTGAATTTGACAGGACCTTTGTCACTGGGAGGTCCCTCCGCTTCTGTGCACTGAGTTCAGGGAGGGACTCCGTCACCTCTGGACTGTCAGTTCTTAAAGGAGACACACTGACAGGATGGACCACCACTTTTGGCAGCTCAGTCACAGTTTGTGATTCGGAAGATTTTTCCTGTCGTGAAAAGTCACCTACCCCATAATCTGGATTGCTGGGAATGGAACTTGATTTTGATGCGGTTTCAGAATTGGATACCATCTTCGTTATTTGGACAGACGGCAGTTCCACGGGGCCTGGGTCATTGTGTCTTTCATCAGTGCCTTCATCATCACTCTCCCCACTGTCTTCTATGTCTGAGTGGACGCTAAGTGCTTTGGGGGACTCGTGTGATAAGAACAAACCACCCGAATCTGGTTGCAAGACGAGCCCCAGTTTGATAGTGTGCGCGTGGGATTTTTTGTGCTTATACAGGTTACTTTTAGTCTTAAATGAAAATCCACAAGTCACACAAGGATAGGGGCGCTCTCCCGTGTGGGAGCGGATGTGCTTTAAAAGCACGCTAGGCTTTGCGCAAGCCCTATTGCAATACTCACAAATATATTTGCCTTGCTTTTTTGGCTTCTGATCTTTCAGAAGAAGATTGCACATTTGTTCTACACTGTGATTAAGAACAGAGGCAATGGGAGTTGAATTATAAATTGGCGTGGAAGGGGACTGTGTGGAATTTGTTGGACTTATTGACATAGGTGGAGCAGAATCCATTTGCTGGTTTTGAGGAATAACCTGAGTTCTACTGGAAGGTGAAGTGAGACTTATCGATGATGGAACTGCTATATTATAAACTTGTTCAAGTTTGGCGTTCTCTGGAGTTTGCAGATTTGTCAACGATCTTGTGAAACCTGGACACCCTGGAAGCTGCTGATTGGGTTGGGCAGATGCAGAAACAAAGTGTTCGTGTGGGTTATAGGGATGAGAAACTGATGGCACCGCTGCTTGCTCGTTCTTCTGAGCGGCAGACGCATGCACTGCGTATGAGGTACACAGAGAGGACTGTGATTCGGTGACAAACTCCTGGGAAGTCTGACTCGGGGCATCTGTTGGACTATTTTTTAATTTAGTGGGTGAGCGTACAGTTTTATTTGGTCTCAGTTTTTCTACCTTAATTGCACAAGATGAGCCCTTTTGTGACAAGGTGCTCAGTTCTGGCTCCATTGCTTTCAGTAAGACATCGAATGCGGTATTTGTATAGGAGGAGGAAGTAGTACTACAATTAGAAGAGATACATTCACTACTGTCAGTCCTGCTTTTACTTGACAAAGAACTAGAGTCACATTTTCCATCCAGGAAGTTTAACTTGGTGGGAGCGGTGCCTTCTGACCTCCAACTGTGCAGTTCAGACGGCTGTTGCACAAACAAGGGATTCTTTGGGGAGACGGATTCTTCAGATTTAGCGGCTTCGGCAATTACCCCAGGTGCTTCTCCATTTTGTTTAGTAAATTGCTTCCCATTTTTTATAGGAATATGGTTCTGTTTCTTGTGGGACTCGGAAGCATTCTGAAGAACTGTGAAAGATGATTCTTCTATGTTTTGTTTATGTTTTGCCTGAAGAGGATTTCTCAGTGGGGATTTTGGTATTTTTTTCAGGTGATTCTCAGTTACAATCTTTTTCCGTTTCACACCTTTAAGTGATTCTGAAGTTCCTTTAATGCCAGCCTCTAAGATTTCTGTTAACAAAAGAAAGAGAAAGAAAATTTATTGGCAAAATTGCGTATACACCAAATACAATTTTTGAAAAACTAAGATTACTATCATGAGGGTATTACGACAATTGAAGAAGGTAGTTTAAGAAAAGTCTATTTTCATTAAACTGTGTTCTACCATTCTGGCAATCTTAAGAAAGTTGCTAACCAAAATCTATGGACATAACCAGGTAAAAACCTCCCTGAGCATTTCTAGAATGTTGTTGTCCTCTTCTGACCCCTATCCCACCACAGGCCTGGAATTATGCTCTTCCAAAGCTCGACTATGCTCCCCCGCTCACTCTCACAGCCAAGGACTCTGTTTATACCGCAGTGTGAGCAGGCTGGCCTACAAAGAAGGAAATGAAACCTTCTTTCAATGCTAGGCATTTGATTGTCTTATCACATCAAGTATCTTTTAAAGCAAGCTTCTCAGCAAAGTTCTAATTAAGCATCTAAAATATGCAGTGCTGATATTCTTAGGAAAAAAAGGGCTATAAGAAAAAAAGGGCTACGATGAAATGATTTTCAGAGTACATATACCTAATGATTATGATATATTAGTCTGTAGAACCATGAAGTATTGCTAACACAGCAATTCTATTGGTGAACAGAAAAACACAAAAGTAAAATGACCCACTTATTTGTGGTTGTTCACCAACAAAATTAAAATGTCATGATGTCATAATGTCCCTTGCTTAAAAAGAAATGACCATTTTTACTGAACAAAATATTCAAGGGTTTTGTTTCTTTGTCATTAGTGATAGACAAGATTAGCTAGCTAGATAGACAGAACTTATTACAGGAGAGAAGAGATGAAACACCTCCACTCCTGGTTGTGTTGGTAACAAATCAACATTTTAATGGCATCAATTCCCGACAATCTTCATCAATTATTTTATTTTTGAGCAATAATTACCTGTCATAATTTGGTTTGTTTTCTTTCACTGGGTCCTTGGGAATATAAACAAAAATTATTCACGCTTATATCACTTATTTGGAAACTAGAAAAGCCAAATAGTTTAATTCCCTATCATTTTCAAATACCTCTTGCAATGTATGTATTTGAAAGTCATATTAGACCAAAGTGTCTACACCACAATAACTACTTTGCATTTACTGAAGATAAAAATTTACACAATAAAAAATAATCTAATCATCTGGCAACATTAATTTATATTAGTTTTACAACAACCACAAAAAATTACTAATCCACTAAAAATGTATTTACCCAGTATAATCAGAAAAGCAAAAGAGCAAAAACAAAACAAAAAACTGGTCTTATGACTAAAATATCCGAGTAAAGAATAACAGAAAAAAATGCATTAGCATTGTTGATACTTTTACAAAATGACGTTGATCCATTCTTTTTTCTTCTTCAATCCATTCATTTATAAAATAATGTCTGCCCATTGGGCTCCCCTCTTCAAGATGAAAGTAATAAAGTCAATGATGACTTTAGGCCACTCATTAACTTCACCAGGGAAACGGGCAGAATGATAATCACCATCCAGGGTGAGTAGCTTCCCCATTCACTTCCAAAGAAAGTTCAGAGGTATCTTGTAATAAAAGCAAAAGCCACATGGGCTGTTAAAATAAACAGAGATGAGAAACCACTTGGAGGAACAGCAGTTGGCAAATGGGTGGGAGTCAGAGCAGAAACACTAGAGAGTAAACACACACAGACACACCCACCCCCCAGGCCCTACTAAACCAGAGTCTTGGTTGAGATAGACATGTCTTACTTTGTTATGTTTTACTACTTTTTGGAATTAGCTTTTATTTTTCAGATTTAAAAAAAAAGTTATAAAAAAAATGAAACAATGCCTACAGTCCAAAGAAAAATGCAAAAATTCAACCCACAGGCAGAACACTGAGAAATGCCATATAAAAAAATTTAAAACCAAACCCCTTGCTGTGGAGTCGATTCCAACTCATAGTGACCCTATAGGAAGAGCAGAAATGCCCTACAGGGTTTCCAAGGAGCGGCTGGTGGATTCGAACTGCTAACCTTTTGGTTAGCGGCTGAGGTCTTAACCACTGTATCACCCGGGCTCCGAAATGCCATATAAACAAGTTAGACTGGGTGAAAATTCTTGCAGAGAAGTCGCCTATGTATAAAGGCAGGTAGGAGGTAGACGGTGGATAGGCGGATATAGAGATAGAGTTTTAAAGGGCTAAAACTCTATATATGTCTTAAACAAAAAGACTACAATTGATCTTTTTTTATACTTAAAAGAAAATGAAGCTGAAGTGAAAACAAAGGAGATACTTAACAGTCATTTTTTTTTTTTTTTGTAAGAGACACTATTTCCTAAAAATCTCTCTAGAGTTAGGAAGTTGAAAAGCATATTTTTTTAACAGAGTTTTTGAACTACATATTCCAATTTTAGATAGAAACTCTCTTCCCAAAGTTTATACAACAATTACATTCTATTCACATAGATTATTTACTCTTAGTTCTTTATTTCTACCCTAAGATTTAACTGGTTTTAATACACCCACCCACTCCTTCAAAACTTTGCACACTCCTTTGCCATCCGGCAGTGCACAGCCACATGGAGGAGCCAGTTGCCACACTGCTTCCCTTCCTTGAGGTGACTTGTCTTTTTCTGGCTCTGTGTCTGCAAATTCTTTATTTCTGGAAAGTTTAATAACATAACCAGGAGCCGGCTCAGAGTTAATCAACGTACACCTTTACGCCTTTTAGTTTTTTCTCTAGAGCATAAGGGCCCTCTGTATAAGTTATTAGCTATTAGTTTATTTCAGAAAACTTTTCCTCTCTTGTGTCATCAAATATTTTTTTTTCACTTTATTTCTCTGGGGTGGGTTCATTAATTCAAACACATCAATTATCTTCGTGCTGGATTACCCTTATAAAATTTAAACTGATTTCATCTTTTTGTCTTCTTCTTTTGCTTTCTCTATAATTAATCTCAAGCTTGTCCCTTACATCAATAATTAAATTTTCAGGCTATTCAGTACCTTATTGTTTCAGATTTGTGTCGGACTAACGCTGTCTTGTTCTCATTTTGGTTCCTTAGTTCCATATTTCCCATTTTGTTGTCTCATATTATGTTTGAGCTCTAGCTGTAATAAATTTACATTCTTGGTAAACTCTGTACTTAAAAGACACTTCTGCTTCTGAGGTAATATTTCTTTGAGGCTGAGTCTTTGGTCTGTTTTTTCTATGTTCTATCTGCGTTTCTACTGACTGCGAAAATGGGAAACAGCAAGGGGACGGTGCTGAGAGTCTGTTCATAAAAATATTTTTCTGGATTGTGCTCATTCTCCTAACAATTTGTGGGAGCTCCTTTAACAGGGTTCACTCACCTTGTTAAAGGGATAAAAGCCCATTCCACTGTGGGTGGCCGGGAGGACGGGGGTAGAAGGGATGACCCTGGGCGTTGGGTCAGTCTCTAAACAGAAGGATTTTGTTTGTTTGGGGGGTAGGGGTGGGTGATAGAGGGGATGGCAGAGGGATGTAAACAGAGGGAGAGAACCAGACTACGGAGAGATGTGAGGTGAATACCCAGACTATCTTTCTAGAGGTAGAACTGAAGCAAGTTCCATGCCTCACTAGTGATTTTCACTCTCCACCCCTCGTTTCTCAAGATTTGGGTCTGGAATGCACAGAGTCAGCAGTTAGGCCATCGGGCTAGAAATTACTGATAGAAGCCTCCTCTTGGAAACCAAGGCCCTAGAGTATGCAGTGGCAGACCCTTTGGTCTTCAGAGAATGATACACTTGGGGGGTCGTTTTTTAAACTCACCTTAATCTTGATTAATTTCAAACCTATCTATCAGAGATGAGTTGTTTTCTCCTGCCCCCTCATCTACAGAGAAGAGTTACACAATCGTTAAATATTTGTGGCTATATCTACAACATCTGGCATGTAGTTATTATATGCTAAGAGTTAAGAGGACGTATAAGCCAGAATGTATCAAAGTAGAAATACATTTGGGGTGGGGGGTAGAGGGTGAACAGCTCCCACAGTAATTTTAAAAGCAATCTGTTGTCATGGTGGTGGTTAAGACTCAAATGAAAATCAGAGAAAGCCAAAGGAAAGAGAGATCATGAGACAAGTTAGCAGAATACAGTCCAAGGACGGTGCCTTTGGGATACTAAAGTTCCTACACCAATCTGTGGCTCGTGCCTACCCCGCGCTTGGTGTAGGAACCTTCCCCACCTGTCTCAGAGGTGGACTGTACGCTTCCAGAGCTGCTGGTTTATTACCAAAACCAGGGCTGCACAGGCCTACTGCACATCAGGGATGAAATGACCCTCTCTCTTTACATAGAGAGAAGGTGCAGCCAGATTGGGAAGGCGGAAAGGGCTCCCAAGAGGAGTCGCTCAACTGCAGACGATGACATTCTCTAGCCAGTCAGTGTGCTACTGGGAATGGCTGAGAATCAGCCAGAACCTTCAGGACATCAACAGGTCGGAAATCCAAACAGGATTTAATTTAACAGATACAAATCACACTTACGACATGGGCTGAAAATGACAGGGTTAGCACTGACAGTCGTTGACTTGTTGAGCTATAGAAAAAAGCCACCCTCCATCAGATAGGCAGTCAAGCATACATTAGAAAGATCACAAACAACACTTGACTGGAGAAAGATGAATTGTTGGGGAAACAGAAGCTGAATTTCCTAGGTTCTGTGTACTTAAAGTTACATCATTTTCCAAGGCGCAAGCCTAATGATTAAGGCTTTTGAAAAGAACACCGAGGAGCCTGGAACACCACTAGAACTGGTTCCCAGGATTATTTCCAAAGAACACCAGAATAAAAACAAGCAAGTTTCCTGGCTCAAGAGAGCATTTGATTTGCTAGGTAGGTTGTGGCAAGGTCTCAGGGTAGGTATCATGGATTGATTTGTGTCCCCCAAAAATGTGTGTCAATTTGGCTAGGCCACTGTCATGGATTGAACTGTGTCCCCCAAAAATATCTGTCAACTTGGCTGGGTCATGATTCCCAGTAT